CTTATTTTATAACATTTGAAAGCAAGATTTTTAAGTGACTAAAATGTTATGCTGAATTAATTGATATAATGACAACCCAAATTTAATTTACAACATTTATCGACTAATCAATCATATATTTATGATACTGAAAATAACGTAAGCTTTATTATCATATCAGCACATTATGCGAAATTTGATAAAAATATTGCTCAAGATAATTTTCGCTGTGTAATCCAATGCTATATTTACAAAATGCAGTTCTTGGTAAATTAACAAAAAAACAAAAAGATTTATTGCAATCAATTCTGTCTATCATAATTTTTTTAACGATTCAATGTTCAGTGAATTTACATTTATTCATAAACGTACATATGCATATATTAAGAAGAGGCAAGTAGAAAAAAGAATAAGAAATAAAAAAATTTAGTTCGCACTTGAAATTTAATAATTATCGTATTTGAAAAAAATTAAACAAGTCGATGTAACGCCTTTTTATACGCGTGTAATTATAAATGTTTTTTTTTCGTGACATATTTATCGATATTAATCGTTGTTCATACTTAACCCGTAACCTTTGTTGCTCATTCTTCGTCTAAAAGAAAACTAAAATAACAGATGACACACACACGTATACACACATGTATGCGCGCATAGAAATTAATCAGAAAATAACACATATACATCGAGAATAATAATTGCTCAATGCGGAAATTAAAATTACGGAAAAAATTATTAAATCGTCATTCGATAACAAGTTGAAAAATCAATATCATGAACACTGCATATTACAGCTTGATGTTCGTCGTTCCCCGTAAAATCAGTATTACGTGATCATGTGTCAACGAGATGTTTTGTATGAAAAAAAACAGCTTAATTCTTTTTATTAGAAGCGACACAGAAAGTGCCGGCAAATATTCGCGGTCGGAAGTAGACGGAGCGTCGTCCCGAGGACGAAAACCAAGGATCAATTTGTCCAGACTCTTTGGACGTAACAAGGATAAAGTGTCAGGCGCTGATACGGACACCATGAAAACTGTCGTCACTGTCGACGACGAAAAGGTAAGTTCGGTCGGTTTTTAGTGAATATGAGAGTATTTAAATTTTTTTTTTTTACTATTACTATATATCTTTTTCCCCAGTAGATTTGAATATGTTTATTGTCGGTATAACGTAAATGGTCATTCTAAAATCGATAATTTAGTTACGATAATATAAATTAAAAAATAATTTTACTCTCTTAAATGGTATCAGTGTATTATCACTGACAAATAGTTTCAATTATAAATATAATGAAACACTAAAATCTCACTGAAAAGAACTAATTATAGTGGTAGCGGATTTTTCAAGGAAATCATATTCAGTACGCGTGAAATGTAAGATGCGAAGTATATTTTCACTGAAAATCAATGAAATATTCGCTTGATATTTTGTTTTAATTAATGATTTTTTACTGATTTAATTTAAATTTCATCAACATAAATCGTAACTTTCTGTATTTCATAAATATAAATCCCAGCCCGAAATTCATCGCAATAAATTACCGATAATTTTATCATTCATAATTTTTCATCGTATATCTGAAATATTCATCTGAAATATAAAAACACAGAAAAAAAGAAATCCTTGATTCAAGTATATTTTTATTCTTGAACGCTATTTGATTGATTTAAGCATAGAATGCTCTCTGTAATCACAAATTTTCATTTGCCTTAATAATAAATAAGTTATGTGAAGTATATTTTATCCTTAAGATATATTCTTGTTTTAAAAATCGCATATGGTAAAAACAAACTTAGTCACATTTGAACTAAGAATTATTATATATACTTGAAAGTACCGCTTATATCCGATGCTTACTTGTCCTTGCAATACTTATAAGTAAATTTCAGCTTCAACCAAGAATATTTTGCACTTTGTTTTAAGAATAAATTATCCTTTATTCAAAATTATTTATATTTGGCGCTATTATAAGGATAAAATATACTTGAATCAAGGCATATTTGCATTACTTTCAAGGATACTGTTTTTTCTATGGAACATATATAGATATAATTTATATATCATTAATTTTTTACTAGAATATAAAAAGATTAGACTAGTTATTTATATTACAGGATTTATATCACAAAATTTTTTGTGGAATAATTTTTTTAATGTATTATAATATAATCGTATGATAATAAAATGCTAATTAAAATTGATATATATCTTTAACCTTATTGGCTCTCATATCCGTGTCTGAAAAGAATATGGTGTATAGCTTCAGATCGCTGAGCCAACCGCGCAGGAAAGCAGGACGAATCCTGCGACGGGTGAAGGTGGGATAGTTTACGCTGAGCTAGATCTTACACAACAAGGTGCCACATCCCGACGACTTAACGAGGATAAAACCGAATATGCCGAGATTTTGTATACGAAACCAGAAACGGAAGAAACGGCCGAGAAATAATTGCAATTCTGCGAAAGCGATTTATACAGATATAATATGCAGACGATCGCGCGTTCTCATGAGTTAAAATTTTTGTCGCGTAAAAAAATCCAAAATCTGATACGATTTTACTATAATACGAGCAAATGAAAAACGAAATGGACATACAATTCGGAATGAAAATTAAAGCGACAAATAATTCATTTCAAGGCGTTACCTTCCTTATATCATTATTGATCTTTCGCGTTTATCGCGATTATTCTCATATACGAAAGCGGACACGTTTTTGATTAATCAAAGCATTATAATTTATATGTGTCCGCGATTTACGTGTGATAATTTGTTGTATGGTAGATAATGTTATGGTACAATCGCGCGCACAGTGTTCTGTTTTTCTCCTTCAACGTACATGTTGCACAGCTGATGATTATTGATTTCGGGAGCAAGGAGAGACACGGCAGCATCTTACTGAACACGCAAAAAAATATGCATTGCGGCGCGCAAATTACTCTAAGTATATAGCATGTCTCAAAATGCAAGCGGCATACATAGTTATTTCTCATGACTTACATTCGAGAATTCCTTCCTTGATGAGAATTTTATGGAAGATATGATCTTTAACCATAATCGTGTGTTGCTGGACAAGTTCTTTTTCATTAAGCTAAATGATTTGTTGCATGTGTCGAGTCATATTAATGTGAGCATATTTTTCAGAACACTTTCAAATAAAAATATGTATCTTTTATTTCTCTCTATGAATGTCTTCTTTTTTCTATAACACGTATATGTGACTATTGCGACATTATGCTAAGTATTGCATTAAATGTACTTAAGTATTAACATTAATTAATGTTGTTATTAATTGCCCATTTAAATAATATGTAAGCGTAATAATAATAATGAATATTGTTCAAATCATGCACTTAAAAGTTGTTTGGATAATTGAAATTTGAAACATTATATAATCTTATATGTAAAATGTCTTTAAAAAAGTCTTTATAGAATATAGCTATGGCAAAAGTAATTAATAATACAAAAATTAACATATTTTCGAAGCATTTAAATAATACCAAATAAAACTATTGTCTTTTAAGCGAAAGTATCATTTTTGTATATTGTAAAGTTCAATATGCTTAAAAATTATGTATTTAAATTATATACAGGGTGTTTTTAAAATAAATAGCCAAGCTTTAAGAGCATATTCTACTATGCTTTTAAAGTTTGATTTGTTTCTGAAACATGCTGTATATTTTATTGTAGAAGAATACGAGATTAATGTTTATTAAAAACTATGTAAGAGTTATATACTACAATCTATGTAATAATTATATAATTTTAAGTAATCTTTAGGTGTGGTATATATATTTTTTTAAATATTAAAGGCTTAATTTACGGTAAATTAATCATTTAACAGCAATACAAACTTGTTAGATATAAGTCAATCATTGATTCGTCCGATTATATTCGTAAAAATGTACGATTATATCGATTTAAATATTTTCCACCGTCCAATACTAATAAATTTAGTTATTTTTTGTACACTTATTTTGATAAATAACTAAATAAAAAATAATATATGTATACATGAAATAGATAATTTAACATTTATTAAACCTGTGTATATGTTCCTGATTTCCTAAATCCTTAAATTTTTATAAATTTAAATTTGTATTCATTAGATAAGAATTTACAATATAATATACAAATAATAAAAATTTGATAAAAATACTATTGCTATTTGAAAAAAATTATATAAAAATTGTAGATAAAATTATGATATGCGTTAGACACATTAGTGTACACAAATTTAGCAATTCGTATAGCGAATATATAAAGCCAACTTGTTCTTTTATCATTAATTATTTAAGTTTTTTATTTGATTAAAACAATATTAGATTTTAGGTCTGAAAAAATGTGATAAACATAACTAATCTTTTAAAATTATATATTTTTTTTATTGAAAATTATCTAAAAATTATTGTTAAAAGAATAGATATGCAAAAAAAAGAACGATATATACACAGAACATATACAAAGATTCTACAAAAAGAGTTATATAAAATGATTAGACTAATATTTCTTAATCTCGGATTTATAATTTAATTGAATAAATCTCTAATACAAATCTTTAATAATTATTCAATAACATTGATATATGAATGATTTAATTGTACACATACGTATTGCACAATTGCAATATTACGTAATAGGTAATTTATAATTGTATATATAATTTATAATTGTTGCAAATAAGTATTGATATGTATGTTGATATGTATAATTTGATACGTAACAACGAGAATAATTTTGCAATCATTGAAAATATTCTTGTTTTTTAATCAAGTTATTCAATTTTTCTCACAATTAAAATGTTTTCCATCAGATAGGAGTATTAATAGGTATCTAGACATCAATGAATTGCACAATGGAATCGTTTAAAATGGATTATTTTGCTCTCCATTTACGTCAGACTTTCGAGAAAAAACATTAATATCTGCCTACGTTCATAATCAATTTCCTGAAGGATCACATTTTTCTCTTTGTAAATTTCCAATGATTATTTTTATTGCGATGATTATTTATTTAACATTCAGTGAGTTTCCATAATAACGGTTGTTGCTTCGCTTGACTCACTGTATGTTTCCGGAATATTCTCGGCTCCGTTTTTAGCAGCATCGATCGGTAAATTACCGGATCTCTTATTTTTTGGTAGACGATGCCGATAGCTCTTATAAATATTTCGAGACATATCTGCAACGCGTTTATTGAAATCCATGCGATTTTGTTCACGAATGAAATCACGCTTACTAGCACACTCGAGTGACTCTATTCCAGGTGGAGGAGCATCACTGGCAAAATCCATCGGTCTCGGATAATTATCGCACGCGGTAATTAATTCCGTGACAGAAATTTGCGAACGACGCGACCGGAATAACTCAGTCGCGGAATCTACGCAGTCCGCCAAGTCACGTTTCATCCCTAGAGGATCCGCGGGTGGTTTGGGTCGTTTCAGAGGACGCGCTTGGCCGAGATTCAAACGCCACTTGGTGCTCACGAACGTGCTGTTTGCGTTTTCAGGATTCAACGCAAGCTCCCTATGATTTTGCAGCGGGGAACCTTCCAGTCGGAGATTTCCGGTTATACCGTCGGCGAGATATCGTCGATATCGAAGGTAAAAATCTGTGTCGGGTACCGTAACCGCTCCGGGAATAGGCGTACTGGGATTTTCGATTTTTCCTGGACCCTTTCGTAACGATTTCGGTAAGATTTTCCTTCTAGGAGTATAGAATTTAGAATCAGCATCGAAGTCTTCTCGATGGAACGCGAGCTTCAACGGCGTAATACGAACACCAAGTCGCTGATTGGTATTAAACATCTTCGTGATCGCGTATATTAGTACGTTTACATTTTTGCAGCGTAAAACGTAAATCGCGTTACGCTCCCTCGCGAACAACGGTGGACCGATCCAGCAAGGGTCGGCGACATAATAAGCGTCCTTGGCAGCTAAGACGGCCAGGGTGATCTCATTGCATTCAATAATAACGTTGCGTGCTCCCTCGAAGGCTGATTTCAACGCGCTGGTTAACGTCAACCTGTTTCGATCGCCGTATAGAATTCCGCACACACTGGTGCCGAAATTCACGGTCCACAAGTGTGGGAATACCCTAAGGGTGGTTCGCAGGCCAAACCTGTTTACAGACTTCGAGCAACTTCGCACGGCGCTCTTCAGACTCTCCGTATAGTACGAATCGCCGCAGATGACAGCTGAATCCAGGATGGCGGGGCTCCATCTAGAGGGATGGCAAAGATGTTGCATGGCCAGGATAGCCACGCATATAGCGACGCGATTTTTCCCGGCTCGTTCGCCAAAATGACAATCGTAAGCGCCGATTGTACCCCAAACGGAATAAATTAGATCGGGAATTTCAACCGCGTAATTGTTCCAAAATTGCCTATCCAACTGCAACGAATCCGATATGTCACCGTTCTTCGCTTTCCTACGCGTTCGCATAATCGAATGCTTGAAGTTCCAGTGATAGTCGAGATACATCCACATCGGATCCTCTTGAAACTTCTCGTAGAGCAGCGTGTCGATGGAACTCACGTGAATTCTATGAATATAGAATCCGGTTGTACCTTCGTACTGATTGAGATACATATGCTTCGTCATTTGACATATGGAGGAGAAGATGCACAGACAGGCCTTGCCATTGGCGAAAGTCTTTTTGCCTCCTACGTCGCATTGATACGGATCGAGATAGTAATAACAGTTGGTCGATTTCGAGTACCAAAAGCCGTAACAGCAGTTCGTGAAATGTAATATACCGCTCGTGTGCATTTTAAAATGACGTTTCAAATGTCTTTTCACCTAAATCGATATAAGATAAACGTAAGAAAAATCTTGAAAATTAGAATTATTTATTAAAAATGTGTTAGAATATCTTTATATGAAACCGAAAAGAATTCTAAATACAGTATATAATTAACTAAATAGATTGCAAAGCATTATTATAATAAACGAATATATATAAATGTGATTAAAAAAGATACATTTTTTATGAATACTAGACAACACAAGCGCGCGCTTATAATGTTTAATATAACTCACAATTAATGTTATATAACTTTTAACAATTTTACAAAAAATAAAACTACACGTATTGATTGTCATGTGTCCACATTTATTACAAACATATATATTATCTTATATTTCTATTTTCATTATAAGAAATTTAAATATTTTCTATTCTGCATTTTTTCCTATTTTTTTATTGTACAATATTGATTTTTAAAAAATGCATATCTTTTTAATTATCTAATTTTTTACATATATTTGTTTATTATAATATTGCAATCTTTTTTCTTTCTTTTTATAAATATTTAATATTAATTAATGTGTATATACATATATATAATAAACATTAAATAAAAAAACCAAGATTTCCAATTATGCTAAACGATAGACATGAAAAAAAACTGAAAGGATAATTTGTTCTCTTTTTTTATGTCTTTGACGCTCACTTGAATATAAAAGTCGTTTTCGCCGGTCCGAGGATTCGTCGTGAACGTAACCAATGGCGATGCGCAGTCTCGGAAGTCGAATAACCTGTTCATTAGCGGGACATTTCGCAATATATGTTCCACGTGAAATTTCGGCTCAACAAATCCTCTGTACAAACTCTCCGCCACTTCGAGAATCCTGTCGATCATACCTGGAAGCGGAGACTGAACGACGTCCCGCTTAATCGCGACAACCAACAACGCGACGAAATAGCAACGTTTCGTTCGCGGCTCTAATAAGCTATTTCGATCGCGCAGAGCCACTGTTCCCAGCACAAAGATTGGTTTCGGAGCCTGACAGATTGATATGAAGATCGCTTCAACATTACGAAATTCTGACGATTTTTTCCGGTGAATCTCCGCCAAGGACTTTGTTGGTGCCATCGGCTCGTGAAGACCGCGAATATCGCTGCAATCTGGCGCTGTTTTAAGCGCGTAAGATATAGTGACCACTCTCACCGCGAATCCTGTTTCCTGCGGCGCGTCAATTACCTTAACGATCAATTTGAGAAACTCGTTTATGCAGCTGGACACGATCATTTGCAAGCGCTTCGTCCCTGTGACTGTCCACCAGGCGAAATAATTTTTGCCGCATTTTGTGACGCCTACATGAGCATAGTTGCAAACGATTATTGCTCCGGTGTAGATTCTCGTCTCGAATATCCTCTCCATGGTCATGGCAAGATTCCAGCCCTCCGTAGCGTACAGTTTTCCGTAGTGCAGCGGCGCAAATACTGCGCGAAACGCATAATTCGCAATCTCGAATTCCGGTAGCAAGCCGTCAGTCATATCGCTCACAGAAGTGTCTTCGCTCGCTAAAACGCTGTCAAAAGCGTAATCCGCGCTGGCTTCGAGCAAACCGTCGACGGTCCGCTCCGACCAGGATACGGGATCGTGGATTAACGACCACGCCATGATGCAGAGATCGATGGGAATCGCGAGGGACGTGTAGTTTCGAAATATCCTCTCAGATGGTTTCGCTCGTTCTATTGTCGTTTCTTCGTCGTCTGGTGTTTCCGATGTTCTTTTTTCGAACGGCATTAGAGCAGGGGTCGTAATATCGTTCTCCAAAACGATCGCTTCCAGCATCGAAGCTTCGTGACATCGCATCGGCGTGAAACCGGGAATTGTGACGTCATGATCTGGATCCAACTCCGGATCCGAGGTAACCCACTCGGCTAACTCGATTAGAGATATCTCTGATGCGCTTGGTCGCATCGCCGCATCTCGCTTTTCTTCACTTTTCACCGACTCAGTGAATTTTGCGCGACGTTCGATGCCTTTTCTTCGTTTCCGTTTGCATTTTTTCATCTCCATGTGAGCGATGGACACGGTATAGAGACGGAAAGGTTTTGTCTCGCCGGCGTTCGTTTTAATTCTGTCGAGCATAGATTTTAAATCGCGGAATCGTAAAAGACAGCAACAACCTTCTTTACTGGCGTGTCCCTTCTCGTTGCAAGGGTAAGGATCGAAGAGATAATATCTATTATCTGCTGTCCAAAATGCATAAGCACAATTTGTCAGCACCAGTATGCCGGTTCGATTCTTTTCTAAAAATTTCTCTACGCTTGTATCAAGCTCGTTGGATATTGAGCTCTTGGGATCGGGAATGATCTCTTTCAAAATTACGTTAAAATTCGCATCGAAAATGTTCACGTTATAAAACGTCCTAAATTCCTTGTATCGCAATCTGCCTACGTGTTGATCGATTTTACCGGCGAGGAGGATTAATTCATCCAGAGTGCTTCCGCAAAACAGATCCGTGTCTAGCACAATTTTTGCCAAAATACACAATACAGCCGCGATGTAACATGGTTTAAAATGAGAAGATTCAATTTGCGCACGATCCATTAAACTCGAATTGCCTCGTATTATCTCAACGTTTTCATCTTCCACAACCTTGAATATAATATTTGTGAAGCAAATTGTGTCTTACATAATTTATTTATCAAGTTTTTAATTATGCTAAAAAAAATTAATATAAATTATACCTACTTAAGAAAACTCTTATCGACATATAATTGCATTGTGGCATTAAACGTTTACACGCCTTATTTTGTTTATACATTACATGATGCGACCAAGTAACATGGATCATTATATATTACTAATACCTTTCCTGTTTGATACATAATATGTTATATAATGAAATTACTTTGAAGCCGACAGCTTCCGACGATCGGTCTATTTTCTTATCTGAGCTAATTATTGCTTTTCTTATGTCCACCTTTTTACTATCGACTTTTTCTTCTAGTGACTAAATGTAGAAAAATGTTTATTAAAAGGAGCTCTTTCATATATGTATATAGAAATAATAATAATTTTTATAAATTAAGGAATATTGGATAAAGAAAGGGAGATTTAATAATTTTTTTATATTATATAATATATTTTTACATTGTAATAATATATAATATTATAGATAAAAAACATGCATATAAAAATATCTTTATCTCATTTTGAATACATTGAATAATAATCAGGTAATAGAAAGATTATAAAACATGTGTAAAAAATTTGGATAGAAATATATATACATATATAAAATACGCTCACCTGTAAATCGGGATTAAAATTGGGAAATATCATCTTGAATAGAAATTTTTCCGCCTCGGTGAGATTCTTCTTGATAATAAACGTTTCTTTCTCAGTTTTCGACATGCTCTTTCGCTTCTGTTCATCGGGACATGTCAGATGTTTTATCGTTAAAACTGGAGTTTTAATTATTGGTCCGAGCGGTATCAGTTCTGATCTTGCACAGGAAGATACTATCGTTAATTTTGCTAACGCCACGTCTTCCTTTTTCTCCTCCAACTTTTCTCGTTCAAGACATTTTTCACCAAGTGCATTATCGACATCCTCGTCCTGGATGTAACTCTCGTCGATTGCTCTAAGAGGCATCATACGGATCGGCAGTAATCTCGAGTACAAGTACTTCCCGAAAGACAGTTTGATCATTTTAGAAGGTTTCGCGTCTCGAGGCACTGATACAATCGCGACTGATGCAGGTGCGTAATTGGTGGGGAAACCATTCTTTTCTTTGACCTCTAATCTCGAGTCGATGGAGAACCTTGATACTAGAGAGGGAATCGATCTATTTGCTCGTTTCGCTTCTAGCAAAACATAAAGCGTCTTTCGCGGCGGCATCACGTACGGGGGCGGATGATTGTACTTCATCTTTTCCATCATTACCTCTTCGTGCAGGCCATTGAGCTCTTCTTCGATCGGTTCTTGAATTTTTACCGTGGAAGTCAAGAGTGCTAGATTTAAACGGTAAGGTGCATCAGACTGCGCGAATTCCTCGACTTCTAGCAAGGGATCTACAAGAGGTTTCTCCAGCATTTCTGGTTTTTTTCTTACTGCTTCCTCTTCTTCCTCTTCCTCTTCTTCTTCTTCCTCTTCTTCCTCTTCCTCTTCTTCCTCTTCTTCCTCTTCTTCTTCTTCTTCCACCTCTTCTTCTTCTTCCACTTCATCGCCTACTTTTTCTAACGCTTCTACAGTGATATCTGGTTTCACTTTTTCGAGTTTCAATAAATCATCATCTGTGATCGGCAGAAATTTTGTACGAAACTTGTCGATCGTCTGCTCGTCCGGCATCATGACTTCCACGGGAGATGTATATTTTCCCGGTTGTATCGCGTCCAGAGTCACGAAATGAAGCGAGAATAAAGAATCATTATATTCCAAAACACCGTGAAGAAGATCGATCAGCTCGTTGAGACTGTCCGCTACAGCGAAGGAAGCCGGATGATCCCGAAGACGCCATCCCTCCGAATCGCTGCCATAAGGGTTGAACATGAAGAATTTTCCATCCTCCTTCCAAATGGCGTACATCAATCTCTTGTTTTCCAATACCGCTTCAGGGTATCGTTCGAAATAACGCTCGAGAGCCTCTGCGAGATTTGCCAACGGATTCGCGTCGCCATCAATGACATTTGTCTTTGCCCTGAAAATAGCGTCGTAGCGAGCTAACTTCAATCTAGGTGGTAAGAAAGAGATGTCCAAGTGACTCGGAGCACGTATTACTTTCTTAAAGGCTTCTTCCTCCTCTTCTTCTTCCTCTTCTTCTACCTCCTCTTCTTCGATCTCTTCTTCTTCTTCTTCTTCTTCTTCCTCTTCCTCCTCCTCCTCCTCCTCTTCTTCCTCCTCTTCTGCTCTTGCTTCTGGTATCTCCGGTCGACCTTGTTCAATCCATGTTATGACCTGCTCGTAAGCTTTGTTGCTCACATCAACAATTTGATCCACATCTACATTTCGCCAGCTCGTCGGATCTTTCAATCTTCTGTAGGTCAGAACAGTCAAAGCGGCTATTAATCCTTGCCTGCCACGTGATTGAGGACGAAAATTCTCGCTCAGACAATTCTTGGTACCACGAAGTAGTAGACAATGAACATTTACCATTCTATATCCCGTAATAAATTTTAACGAAGGTTCCTTTTTTGTATCGTCGGCTGTTTCTACTTTTATGACGTCTTCTTCCTTTTTTATGCGTTCCTTCTGCATCTTTTTGCCGCTTTCTTCTTTTTCTTCTTCTTCTACCTTTATTTTCTCCTCTCCCTCCTCTTTCTCCTCTTCCTCCTCCTCCTCCTCCTTTTCCTCTTCCTCTTCCTCCTCCAACTCCTTCTTAATATCCTGTTCTTCTTTATCTTTCTTTTTGTCTTCTTGTGCAAGTATGAAAGTTATCGGCTCGTCGTCTGCCATTGTATATTTGTCCACGTGTTGCATAATTTCTGGAAATTGATTAGACTTTTCCACGGACTTACGCGAATCTGGTCGCATGCGGGGTGTCGTGTCGATCACTTTTTCCATCACATCCATCGGTACTGGAGGTGATGGGGCCCGCGGTCTACGATTCGTACCTCTCTCTCGATAAATTACTCTCTCGAGTGGTCCGCCTGGCATTACTCCAGTCTTCACGTACAGTACTGTTAATCCATGTATCAAGAAAGGATCCCTGTCTTTATTACCGGTATTCCCCAGCACAATCTCCACTACCTCGTTAACAGTGCTGTTCATGGTAACGCATGCAGCGCCTTTAAATCCCCCGTCATCCTTTGTGTGTTCTCCGTTATGACTGATCCTGAAACCTTCGTCGTCGCATGCAAACGGATCGAGGAAATAATATGCATCGCCGTCCTTCCAGATCGCGTAGAAGATGTTCTTGATTTCGAGTATCCCGAGCTCTCGTGTCTCGAAGAACTCGAGTATACTATTGTCAATGGCGTTCTCGTTTTTTTCCGGCATCACATTCGCGTCTACCTTTATCTTGGCGGAATATACTCCGAGAATAACGTCGCTCATCAGATTTTCTAATCGAAGCTCAAACTCATCGTCGAGCTTCTTCTCAAGAATCCTGACCAGATCGACTAGATAAATATTGGACTGATTGATAATCAGATCTAGCAAACCGGTTGTCCATTTGTTTGCATTAATTAATCGTGAATATATCAAGGCCGCCACGGCTATAATCAGATGTCCTTTGTCTCGCAGATCTCTCGGTATGGCTGGATGCGTGAGATGATAGGATCCTTGCACCACGGCTCGGTGCTTCTGGCGAATCTTGTAACCGCTCGGTCTTCTCTGCAATTTCCCGCGAGTTTTCTCGACTTGCGCGAAATCATCCGGAGAGATCGACTCGATTGTGCAGACAGTTATAGCGTAGATTAGGAAATGTTCATTCCGTACGTTGCTCTTCTCGAGGATAATAAATAGCACTCCCATCAGATCCTTCACGAGAAATAGTTTGGCCGAACCACTAACTTCTTCGGCAACCGATTTACCATTATCTTTTCGTGCTCGACCGTCAAATATATTGTAATACTTTGAATCACGCCATATAGCTACATCGAGTACCGGTGACGTCAGGATCCCGGCATCGTGTCGCTCGAAAAACAATTCTAATGCCTTCGCCAAATGAAGCTCCGTTGGATCGCACGAACGAAATTTTCCGACGTACTCCGGCTCCTCGATCTTGAGTCTTATATTAAACTTTTTTTGAACGAGAAGATTCCTCTTCAAGTCAAGAATGGTCATTGTTCGACGATCGCCGGTGTTCACATCCTTGTACGATTCGCAGTAAAAAGTGTCGCCGTCTTCGATGATCTGATCGATCACCGCCTCGTTCCAACAACGTGATTTATGAATCGCGGCTGTGGCGAAAGCTGCAATCGCTATAGCGCCACCCTGTTATTAGAGCTATGAAATAAGAAACTGCAAAACGATGCCTAATAATAGATTTCAAAAAATTATTTTAATTGTGTCATTATTTGTTAAATTATTTATTTAATTAATACAATAATTCATTCATTTATATTTAAAAACGCACATAGAAAATTAATATAAAAGAGCTCCACAATTCAGGAATCATAGTTTTAATATACAATAGAAGAACGTAAGGAAAGATTCTCTCGAAATAAAGTCCTCAACATCAAGGCTCACAATAATAACGATTACCTGATAACCTCTAGATAATGGTGAAAACAACGGCATATTTAAATGAGTAAGGCCAGAACGGATGCCATACTTGACGCAAAAAGGTAATTCCGGTTTAATTTCAGTAAGGGAATACGTATCATGCGGTAAATCAAAAATGTCATTCATATTACGATATTCTTTTTCTAATTCTTCATCAAATTCATCGCTGCTTGGCACATTATTTTCGGCCATTTCTACATCTTTTATAATTTCTACGATAGCATTAACAGTCTCAGTCGAAATTATCTTATCACATTCGACAAGCTGCTTTATCTTTTCTCTGAATAATTGTGTCTTTCGTTTTTCTAGGTCCAGAGCTATTTCCTCCATTTTTTATATATGTTATGTCTTTTTCAATGATAAAGCTTTAAAAAATATTATTTAAACATTTTTATTGATATCGTTTTGCAATTTTTATTTAATAAGGAGAGTTTTAAATAATCATGTTACGTGATAACCTAATGGTAACGTAAAAACAACGAGTAATATGCAAAAAAAATTATGTTGGTCATAATTATAGCTTACCGTATTTACATTGCTGAGATAAGGTTTTTATACATACATGTACAAAATGCGCAACATGCACAATCAAATTTATAAAGCTTCAAGACATTATTTGCTGATTAATTGGATGTGAGTGAATTTATCAATAAAACAACTCGACATAGAAATATATGACTGTTTACGATTAGATTACATATAAATGTTTGGCTAAAATTTGAAAAAGGTATATTTGCTATTTAATATGTAACGATAACTTATTTATTTACAGATAATATAGTAGATAAGAAGGCAACAATATATTTAAATCTAAAATGTCATTAAAATTAAATTTAATAACGAAAAGTAATAAAATATATAAAAAATTGTCAATCTAAACAATACCAATTTACTATGTTTATTAATATGCATTGCACATGCACGCATATAATTTATTAGAAAGATTATTTATCAAACATTTAATAAAGGATCCCGCACTAATTCAATGGAAAATGGCTTTCCGTCAAATTGATTGAATTTTTGATATGTTGTAATTTGTGACATTCTAATCAAAAGATGTAATAGCCTCAAAACTAAATAATCGATAAGTTACGACCAATTAAACATCTCGCAAGACGCGAGTTTTTTGTGTTTGACTGACTTTAATCATCAGTAATCATCTATTATTTAGTTTTAAGCTTATTACATTTTTTATTCGACAGATCATAAACTACAATATATGACAACTCTAGCTGATTTTCCTAAGATTAAATTATATATATATAATTAGAGTGCGGGGTTTTTGAACTTAATACATTTCATATTTGTCTTATTTTTTAAAATACTGTAGAATTTATTTAAATTAATTTTAAACTAATGAAAGAAGAATCTATTCACAAAAATTTATAATAAAACTAACATTGTTTTAAAGATTTCTTATGATTATTTTTCACTTTATAATGTTTAAATAATATCTTATTCAACGATAAAAAACACAGTAATTACGTCAATGTATTTTGCATGATACAAGTCACGTACGTACGATAGGGTGTCAGACATCTTGTAGCTTGCTGTAAAAACTATAACATTCGATAGATACGTGCTTTCGTCTGATAGAAAGGTCAACTCGATTATCACAGAGAAGTATTTTAATATAGTAATATAATTTATAACCATACTCGCTAAATTAAATAAAAAAAATATCTTATTAATAAAGTGATAAAATTTCACCGAAAATCAATTAATATTTTACTAATTTTTAATTAAAATATTTACATGTTGTTTCTTTAGTTTTGTATTTCATTGAGATTATGGCAGTAAGATTTTACTGTAAAATTAGATATTACCACTAACTAATCCTTTTCAGTGAGATTTCACTACGTATGTACAGTGCTATACTTATAACTGTAAGCGCTATTTATGAGTGATAATACTGATAATATATTCATTTCATTAAAGAAAGTAAAATATTTTTAACTTTTCAGAGATTTGCATATCCTGTATGCATACAATGGCGTCAGCATTAATTTATTTGTAGATTGCGTATAATATAATCTCAAAGATTGTATATATATATAATTTTATATTAATACTATTTTTTACTCTCGCAATATGTTATTAATATTAATAAAACGATTAAGTTGAGATTTAATATCAAAATTACCACATCTTAACATTTCCATTTTTGATATTAAATCTAGGTTGAAATGTTGTTAATATTAATAACTGCGACAATAAAAAATAGTCAATATAAAAAAGTATAATTAATATGTTATTAAACGCAATTATTTATTTATATTTTCTTAATAATTGATAGTATTAAAAATTATATATATATATATCATTAATAACTTTTAAATTTACTTAAACTTGTAATAAATGTACGTTGCAAAGATTAAAAAATGTTTTCTAGATTTGATTAATAAGAAAATTTTTTAAAAATGTGGAATTTTTATTCTCAATTTTTCATCTTTTTTTTACACTTTTGTATGTAGAATAAATAATGAACTGTGATAAATGTTGTATAATTGTATATTATATCTAACTACGTAAAAAGTAGCCTATTTATCAGTACATCTGAAAAAAACTTAAACTTGGCTTATTGAATTATATAAAGAGTATGACAGAAACGTAACAAGATGTTTTATCTTTCTCTTATAATCTTTCTCTCTCTTTCTCATTTGTCTAGCAGTAGAGATTGGGTGTTGTTATCACCCCAAGATTTTGTAGAGTGGTTGTGAAAACGGTCGAGGGGCAGCGGCTACACTCAGTGAACAAACAGACGTCGGAGAAGTCGAGAATCTGCACTGTTGCATCTTTGCCGATTCACAATTTCGAATTTTCGACATTCGAAATTCGCGTTTCGATCGTGTGTAACACAGTGTATTCGCGCGAATGTTAGAGAATGTTGAATTATATTAGGATAGCAATCCGTAAGTAATGTTATAAGACTTAGGAAAATTATAGCTTTTTTCATATAGCTTCCCAAATAATTTTTCCGCATCTAATATTTTATTTTTATTTAATTTCATAGTGTATATAAATATAGCTAATGAAAAATTTTAGACTTTCTTCAACATTTATTAATTAAAATTTTTAATTAAATTCTTAATTTTTTTATACGATAATATATTCCTACACATTACCCTATCATTCATATCTCTCAATAAATAAATAAATTATCACATACATGTATTTTAAAACATATGAAATTAAATAATAATTAATTTTCATGACGGATGCTGAGATTAATTATAGATATGTATACTTTCCTCAGAGAAAATGTAAAGAGAAGCTATCATTTTTTGCATGTTCCCAATTTTTGCCTTATTCATATATCTTCATAACTAAGCCTTAAATTAAAATTCTATTAAAGTAATTATCTCTATTTAAAAGTAATTGAAGAATTTTGTGAACGGATTTATTAATATTTTATTTCCACAAAGTTTATCGTTAGTTTGCGAAAAATCCTTTATTTTTATGACTCGTTGTTTATAACTCGAAAATTATTAGTGTCTCGACATTTTTGCTAAGGAAAAATCATTTCTAAATACTCTCAAGAATTTGTCATTAACAGGTGATCCACTAATTTTGAGATACCTTATATTTAAATTTATATAACTATTAGAGAGAATTTAATGAAATATATTCGAATTGCATAAATCGGCATGCGTATGTTTCTTACGCAAAATTTAAAATTTTCCTTGAATATTAACAAACGTTAAATTTTTATTTTTATATCTATAATAAAGATGTTTAAAAAAGACATTAAGTAAAATTCCAAATTTTTTCAGGTGTAATAGCTATGGAGATGAGGAATATCGCAGGGGCATTGAAACAATGGTGCGTAGAAAGAGCCTGGAATGCGAGGAAAGAACTCGGGGAAATACATACAGCGGACTCGACGAATCTACAACCGGTTTTGCTATCAACGCAATCAAAAAGTAATTTCATTATGAAATCAGTACTTGTGTGTAAGGTACCAAGGGTTAATCCCAGATTTCATAGTGATGACCTTAATTTGTACATTTTATTTAAAAATTATTGACGTGCCCGCGCTTCTTTCATCAATTTAGGTATGTAATTTATCATTTTTATTTTTTGTGCGAATTATCTGCAACGGCAAAAGTACTTGTCAAGAAATATTGCACGAAGATTATTTTGTTATTTTTTACTATTTCTGCAAACTAATCAAATGCATTTTCATAAAACGGACTATATATCTGTCGTTGCATATAATCTTTCACATTATTCTGATTTTATATTATTGTTAATTTTATGTAGCAAATAAAAGTTTTTCCAAAATATTCTATCATAATTCTATCAAAAAATATTTTATCATAATATCGTACAGAACATTTTATATGTGATAAATATCTTATCGAAATAATTATCTTAATTTAATCCTTTTTTTAAATTCAAATAATGAACAGATTAACTTTCAAAAATTTGTTGTTAAAAGTAAACTTCTCATCACATATTTATAAATAATTAACTTGTTTTCATAGAACTAGAATTATGTTTAATCCTCTACTATTAGTTAACTCATAATAACGTATAAATTAGCGTGCTTTAATCATCGTTCCTCGAGCTGAATAAGAAAATAAATTCTAGATAACTCGAAACTAAGAAATACGCACATTATGTCTAATTATACAATGTATTTAATACAAAATGATAGTACTTTGTTCCTTAACAGAAAAAGCAAATTATAGATGGAAAATAACACAAGTATTGCGTAGTAATTGTGTGAAAAAATTTTCTGACGTCTCTTGAAATGAAATGAGTATTGAAATCGAATATATTCTATTAACTATACAAAGCAAAAATAAGAAAATCAAGAATGGCATAAATCTTTTTTCATTTTTTATTATTTTTCTGTGTAACTTCTTTTACATTAATCTTAGAATGGACAAAAAATATGTAGAAATATTTTAAAAATTTTTCCGAATTTTAAGATACAAATAGATCAATTTCAAAAATTTGAAGTTAATTTTATTTTCAGTAATTACTCAGTATGCACAGATAATGATAATGCAAAAATATATGCAATATCTCACAAATTGCATTGTAATAATAAATTTACATGAAAATTCTCAGTTATTTGATTCCTGAAAGTCGTTTTCTTAGTAAAACTTGCTCACCAGAAATAAAATTGAAAATCTTTTGCTAATTTACGATCATTATATGCGATTCAATTTAATGGCAGTAAATTTAAACTCTCTCTCGTGTGTTATAATTAAACAAAATACATTTCTGATATAAAAATTATTATTTAAAAAAAATAAAATATATAAAAAATATAAAAAATTCTGCTATATTGAAAAATACTTTATAATAAATTTATGATA